ATAATTAAATTTTAAATTCAAATAGTAATATTTAATTGAATAAATTTTTATATTTTAAATTAATTTTTAATTTTAAATATAAATATTATAAACTTTTATATTTTAAATTAATTTTTAATTAAATAAAATAATCATTTAAGATGGACATTTTAATTTTTTAAATCAAAATAGACATACATTGCTTTTTATAAATAAATAAAGTGCCTTATTGTTCACATTTAAATATGATAAGATTTGATGTGGATTATTGACTTTCAATTATAAACGAGTGACATGACGTGGGCATTTCAAGCTCTAACTTTTTTGGTTTGGTGCATTTTTAGAATCTATGGCTTGAAATTACAAGGAATACCCTGCTTTGTAAAAATCCCTCTTCCTCAATAATTCTTGCGTTTTTTCATTTTTATTTTTCAAAAGGAAATGCATAACAATTGGCAATAAAACTGAATGATGTTATATTAGAAAAATTTAAAACAGATTGTTTCTTAACTTTAGCAATAAACAAAAGACCAAACATGCTCGAGTTTAAATATCAACACATAAAAAATTTATGATATTAATATATAATAAAACAAATAAATTATGTATCTAAATTTTATAATTAGTATGTTACCAAGAGATCATAAGGATTATCAAAATTTTTCTTTGCAAAACAAATATAATTAGTATTGACACTTGTATCTACTCCTCTCGATTCAACTTTTGTATAAGGTTAAATATTAATTTTTGTCCTTTAATTTTAAGATTTTACATAATTTTTATTTCTTAATTTTTTCGTGCATTCTTTTGGTCTTTCAACTATGAAAAATGTATTTTTTTAGTTCTTCCATTTATTAATCTATTAAGTTTATCTAAATATACATATTTTTAGTTCCTTAACTTAAAGTTAAGGGATGAAAAATGCACATATATTAAAAATTAAGGGACTAAAAATGTTTATATTTAGATAAGTTAACGGATTAACTAAACGAAAATACTAAAAAAATGTATTTTTCATAATTGAGGGACCAAAAAAGTGTGTAAAAAAGTTGAGGGATGAAAATTATGCAAGACTTTAAATTTGAGAGACCAAAATTAGCATTTAACCTTTGTATAATACCAACTAATAAATCATGTCACTCCTTAATTTCATTATTTATAGAGTTAGGTTTTCTAAATAAAAGAAATAACCTATCATATTATGATAATCTTTAGGGTAATCCCACCAAGTAGCTCATCTTTAATTTCAATTTTTACATCTATTCATATCATATTTTATAAAACTGAAATAAAATATAAACTCACTTAGATTATATAACTTTATTGAGTTTTATTGATTTTCCATTTGACTCAATTTTGAAAACTAAATAGAATTAATAGAAACCCACATAAAATTTTCCAATATTCTCTTTCTTGGGCAATGTTGATTAGTTTTAAATTTTAGAAAATATTTTCTAAAAATTGATTTTTGAGTCAAATACAACTTTAGTAGTTAGAAATATAAATCAAAATCCTAATATAGAATTCCATTCAATGAAAATACTAATGCTAGACTATTGTGATCATTGTTTCACTGGTCAATACAAGACCCATATAATCACAAGTATCAAATGTCTGTATCTACATAAATTCTAATAGATGTGATTAAGTATAGTGTAGTTTGACATAATATGATCCCTATAATATATAACATATCAAAAATCATAACCCTTTTTATAGTTTTAAAGAAACCATTATCAGGATATAATCTTTTTACATTTCTCCAATGAACCTTTTAAACTTTATTCTAATTTCATAGAAATTTAGGAGATGATCTCTCATATATACTTTAATAAAAAAACCTTTATACTTTAGAAGAAGTTTATACACTTTTGAAGAAGCTCTTATAATTTATACCTCGAGATCAATCTATGTATGAATTCATAAAAATTATCAACAGAATGCACGTATATCATTATAAAATAATAAGTGATAAAATAAACAAAATAGAACTTATTATTAATAGAGAATTTAACTTTTCTCATTAATCAAGAAAATCTAAAACAATCCTCATAGATAACTAACAAAACTATAATTTTTTTATCAATAAATTAGTCAAATAGTTATAATAATATAAGAGTATAATCATCATTTATAATTTCACCTTAATATCATTCTTATTTTATAAGGCAAAGTCAACAATTGCCTTTAATACATTTTTTCACTAGATTCTGTAAATAAGCCATCTATTTAAATAATTAACACTATTAAATATAAAATATCCTAGTGAAAACAATCATCCATTATCCAAAATAGCATGACTTTTAAATTTTGATCAAACATAAAAGCATAAGAGTGATAAGACTTTATCAATTTTAATAAAATTGCAACTTTTACAAGAATTGTTTTCTATATAATTCATAACATGTGTCGAAGAATTTCACCATGCTAAAAAGCATATATCTCCAGACTTAATCAAATCATATGCAATCAAGATACAAATCACATAAGAGATATATAAATTAACACCAATCCTACATTGACAATATAATTTTAAATCTTTCCAAAATAAGTTTTACATGATGTACTTTAATCCATAGCATGATTCCCTTTAACTTATAAAAATTCAAGAGATAACTATAATTTATTTTATTAACACCTTTATGTTGATTAAATAAGTCCATAAAATTAAATCTTAACAAACCAATTAGTAAGAAAATCATCATTTAGCAAATATATATAAATACTTATAATCCTTACTAATTGTTTTCACTACTTCAAGTTACTTCAAGTTAATGTATAGAATAATCATCTTTGGGTAGAATATTGGATGCACTAATATGAAAGTAGTAACTTTATTTTCTATATTTAATAGCTCATTTTTGAACTTCCCAGTAGATCAACTAACTTTAATGACATGAGTAATTTGATAACAATGAGTATAAAATTTTATTAAACCTCATAAGTTTCTATTATAATTGAATTAACAAGAATGATCCCACAGCAAATTTTCTATGAAATCAAAATAAGAACCTTTACTAACCACTCACATGTCTTTTAGTCAATATATACAATCACTTCTTTTAGACAAGTAATCATTCATACTAATTTCAAGAAGTTTCTTGATATCCTAAAATCTTCGATAACAAAAGTCATTTATCCTAATAAATGAATTGTTGATATTATTCATATTAATTAATTATAAAACTTTATTAGGACTTTTATATATATATGGTTCTATAATCCCTCTCAACCATGTCATTTATAATCTTTAATAATAATAATTTTTTTAATAATTATAACATATGAATGAGAAAAGCTTTAAACTTCCAAGAAAACCTTCAATTTTAATTGGTTCCATTATTTTAATATTAAATATGGTTCTATAATCCCTCTCAACCATGTCATTTATAATCTTTAATAATAATAATTTTTTAATAATTATAACATATGAATGAGAAAAGCTTTAAACTTCCAAGAAAACCTTCAATTTTAATTGGTTCCATTATTTTAATATTAAATAAAATCATATGAAATTCTTGTCAGTATCTAATATGAATCAAGATATACAAATACTAAAATTCATAGAACTTTATCAAATATCTTTTATTCGAAATTTTAAATTTCATGCATGGCCACAATTAGGCTATCACTAATGTACAAAATAAATATGCATGATTATTGTTTGAAGGTAATTAATTGCCAAGAAAACCTATTATATATCCAACAATTTAACCTTAATAAATTGTGTGTTATAAGTTATACATAAACTTTAATTCTACAAAATCTCTTTAAAGATTTAGAAATTGAGTAGTTAAATTACAGAATTCATATACTAAAACCCACGTATTAAAACAAATAACTTCATCTTCCCTTTTTCTAAAAAAAATAATAATAATAACTTCATCTTGAATAAAATACCAACATGAGTAAGATTAGTAACTTAGTTACCTTGCACCATTATAATTTGTTTTTAATACAATTTGACTAATTATTGAAACTACAACTATCAAAATTCCTTATTCCACTTTTGATATATACATCTTCTAAATTTTTTTCTAAAATTCCATATAATTAATAGAAAATAACAACTAGGCTCTCACTAAATGCATTATTAATTTTTTTAGATAATTCACTAGCAACTACAAATATTATATTTACATCCAAATATGAATACTTTACATGCTTATTAGAAACACAATGCCAAATGCCAAAAACCGATGTGTTACCCCCCATATGAAGATAAACAATTGTTAATGGGACATAAAGTTTGTTAATTTTATCTGCTCATTTATCCCATGACTATAGATTTCCTTATTAATAGTCAAAATTAAAAACTTTACAAATATGCAATGTAATAAGTCTCAAGAAATTTAACTCAAAAATATTATAATGTATATAAATAATGAGTTATATAAACACACACATACCTCCATTTGTAATCAGCTAATTGCTTTAATAAGATCCTAAAACTTAATCTCTAAAATATGTTTCATAGTATATATTATATGCATAATAATATTCATAGAGTGGTTTCAAATCAAAACATGAAAAACATATTATATAAAAAATTTACTTGCCACCAACCATGCACCTTTAACCCCCAATTGATACTAATATTATGAGTTATGTTGACTCAATGTACTCCAAGAAGGGGGTGAATTGGAGTTCCAAAAATTCTCCTCTTTTTGCAACCACAAAACCAA